AATCCACTGTGTATTTATAAACCCTGATATTGCCTTGTAAAAGCAGCAGTGACATCATCACTGTGCTGTATATAGCCTGTGCAGTGGAAGAGGTCCAGCAGGCCTCACCCACTACAGACTGTCTGCAGAAAAATACAGGAGGAGGCAGAGACAAGACCAGTAACCCTGTACAAGGAGAGAGAGCAGCAGTGACCGGTCTTTATTACAGGAGGGGGCGGAGATTAGACCAGTCACCCTGCACAAGAAGAGAGAGCAGCAGTGGCCGGTCTTTATTACAGGAGGGGGCGGAGATTAGACCAGTCACCCTGCACAAGAAGAGAGCAGCAGTGACCGGGCTTTAATACAGGATGTTTCACACTGGATTACTGCACAGATGTGTAAGAAATACACATACCTCACAAAGAATGAAATTGGCTTATCTCAGAGTTCAGTTTTAACTGATTTTATCTCGGCATTCTTTTACTAAGCACAGTAATTGCACTGTCAGACTAAGCCACTAGAGGGAGACTGCACACAATGTCATGACATGTCATTCAAGGGCAGATGTACTAATATCTTATTTTTGTGTGCTGTTCAGGGAGTACTTAAAGGTACATATATCGCATACACAGATGTTTTACATTAGGAAGTAAGATATGGGTTGATCGTTTAGTAGTTAGCTCTTCTGCTTTGCAGCTCTGAGGTCCCTGGTTCACATCCTGGTCAGGACACTTATCTGTATGGAGTTTGCATGTTCTCTCGGCGCTTGTGCGGATTTACTCCCACACTCCAAAGAGTGGTAATTGGTTCTTGTCTAGTATGTGTGCATGTAAGATGGGGTCCTTCACAAGCTATATGATTGTTCCAGATCAGTGACTTAAGTAGTAAAATCAGTACAGCAGCCCCCCAACCTGCACCATTGATAAACCAAGTCTGCAATGGCAACTTCCATATTTTCTTACTCACGGGTTCTCTTTTTAAACACCGAAAAAAGAAATAATGTCACCAGCACACCATTTTTGTAAATCAATGATCCATTTTAATGGCACATTGCCATCCAACACAAGCGATTTCGGGGCCGCAAGGGGTCCCCTTCATCTGTGATATACACGGTGCCTTCCGTGGTCACTACAAGCACCCACCCAGCTTTGGGTTTTGCGGTAAGGAGTGCAGCAAGATATTCTGTCTATACTCTTTTTAAACACCGTCACATTCTTGTTGATCAAGTTGCCTGGAGAGAGCTGATTTCCAGATGGTCCAGGTTTGGAAATATTGGATTGGCTGCGATGGGCAGCAGGAACATCTCTTCTCTTTTCTAACCCATTCTGATCCTATTACACCACCACAGAACTCTGCAGAGCTGGAAAGTTCATAATGCATCCCTCGGAGAGAGTGCAGCAAAACCGGACATTACTGCTATGTAAAGTATGAATTATCGGGGGCCCATACCTGGTTTGTCAGCAGATTTCAAGGCCGTTAACAGCACTTTTTCAAGCACAACCCCTGGCAAGTAAAAGGAAACCGGCTTTAACCCAGTCATGCCACACAAGCGGGTCCACAAAGCTGCTTGCAAAGATCACTGGGTTTATTTATACGATCATATCGATCTTTGCAAGCAACTTCTTACGGTCAGCTTTCTCCCATAAGAGAAAGTGTTAAAGCTGCTGAATTTGCATAACAACAAAGCAGCCAGCATTTTCAGAAGGAGAGGTTAGCAATGGCAGCTTCCATATCATAGAAAAGCCTTCTCCAACCTGAAGCTGCTTTACAACTACGAGCCCTAGTATGGTCTGCTACCTTCTGCCCTCCATAGAGGAAGTCAGGTCATGCTGGGGTCTGTAGTTAGTGACAGATTATTATTATACAGGATTTATATAGCGCCAACAGTTTGTGCGACAGATAGCACTGGTGCTTATTTCACCCAAAATACACAGGATCTTTAGATGTAGTCGGCCCGTTTTGGTGGGATCAAAACTCTCCCCTTCATCAGGTCTTGTATTGTGTTTAGAAAGGCAATAAGTAAACACAGGAGCATGATAAAATGTGTGCTGTAGTAGATCCCATGGCAGTGTTGTAAGTCACCAGCAACAAAAGGCACCTGTCAATCCTTACATGTCTATGCCGTCACAAGCCTTAAAGTGAGGATAGGCATACGGGAAGTAAACCCACAAGAGAGGTATAGTGCAGGACACGGGGAAGGTACACACAAAGACAATGCAAAAACAAGTTCACAGGGAATCATAGGAACACCACAACACAAGGAACAAAGCATGGGTGGACTAAAGGTGGCCTTACAACCATCGCACGACTTTCGTTGTGCGATCGTTGTAAGGTCATTAACATTTTGTACGATCTGCCCATCTTGGACAGGCAGATCGTACTTGCGATCATCGCAAGCCCTCCCCGCTGAGGGGAGGGCTTGCCGATGATTGCAGTGCTGAGCGGGTAGTGTGCGCTTGCCCATGCGGCATTCGTCTTCCGAGCGCGCTACCAACCCGCCGAAAATCGTACGATTTTCGACGGGTTTTCTAGCGTGCTTGGAAGAAGAAAGTTGTGCGACCGTGCCCTTACGATTACCGTACGATTGCGGGATCACCTGCGATTACCGATAATTACGATATTCGGCAGGTGTATGGGCACCTTTAGAGAGAACAGGGCAGATGGGGACAGCAGACACACTAAAGTGAATGGAGAGAACCAGCAGCAATACAACAATCAAGTAAGGCCACTCACACCATAAAGGTGAATGCTCAGTGATTTGGGAATTAGGGAATCAGGAGGGACAGAGTAAATGGGAACACAGAGAGTGTAAAAGGTGAAATACAACAAAGCTGGGAATCCATGGAGGTACACAAGGAAAACGAGAAGTAGGGAACATGGGAATTACAGGGAACACAGGAGGGTCCGGCAGCAGAAAACTGGCTTGTTACTTGAACCTCGAGTAACAGGTGAGCTGAACCTAACAGGGTTATTCACAAAAGGGTGAAGAGTTTTGGAGAAGGCAGGAAAAATTATCCAATTCAGCTCACTTTCCACATCAGCTATTTTGTCAGAGATTGTTCACTTCTCCGGGCCTTCTCCAAACTCTTCACCCTTTTGTGAATAACCCTGTTATAGGGAAGGAAGAGAGAAGATTGGCTGCAGCACTGTGAACCCCTATAAGCTGACAGCCAAGCACCTAGGATAAAGTGGAACATCTGACACGGAAACTGGACAAGAGAGAAAACCCGGCACGGATACCAATACAGTGTGACCGCATCAATAATTGAGAACTGAATATATGTTGAACTATTTTGTTGAGCAAATTGCGAATTGGTTGATGTTTTATTATTACTGAATATTTATTGCTATTTAGATGTATGATGTTTATTCTTTAAGACACTCAGCACTTTGTAAATGTATTTTGTTATTTTTTTTGGTACATATCTACAGATTTAGTGATAGAGAGACATATATAGACATATATAGCACCGCACTCAGCGTTCATTTTACCAACTGTGAGCTGTCATTTTGTCTGTGAACTGAACCCGTGACCTCAGTGCTTTTACCTCTGTACTGATTATCTCTACAACCTTTACACATTCTACTGGTTACCTTCTTATCGCTCCACAGTACAAATGTCTGCATAACATTATTTCCAACCAATCAGGTCTTTGTGTTGTTATCTGATCAGACCAGCCTGGGTTTTATGTGAAGTTGGCAGAGTGAAACGCGCAGGACAAATCTCTCTCGTTCTTTTACCTGACAAGGACACGGATTAAAACGTCTTACTCCGGCTGGCTGCCATGGCATCTGCTGATCTGAGAAGTGAGCCAATCTGCTCCATCTGTCTGATGGTTTATAGAGATCCCGCAACTCTGAGATGTGGACACAACTTCTGCCGGGTGTGCATTGACGATGTGCTGGACACACAGGAGGCATCTGGAGTTTATACCTGCCCAGAGTGCAGAGAAGAGTTTTATGAAGGTCAAGACTCCATAAAGTATACAACTCTACCCAACATATCAGAGGGGCCTCTGTCTGTAAACCCAGACCAGGAGAACACTGTGTCCTTCTGCACCTACTGCATTCATTCCTCCATACCTGCTGTTAAGTTGTGTCTGCTCTGTGAATCTTTTCTGTGTGATGGACACTTGAGAGTCCACAGCAAGTCAGCAGAACATGTTCTAACAGATATCAGCGCTTGTCTAGACAACAGAAAATGTCCCTTCCATAATGAAATGCTGAGGTACGTCTGCTGTGAAGACTCCACTTGCATTTGTGTGTCCTGTTTAGCCTTTGGAGATCACAGAGGACATCAGGTAGCGTTGCTTGATGACGCCTTCGAGAAGAAGAAGGAGAAACTGAGAACTGTTCTGGAGATACTGACCTCAAAGACAGAAGAAGATGAAAAAGTAATCGAGTCTCTGCAGAAACTCAGGAGTGAGGTACCGGAAAAAGCATCCGGTGTAACAGAGAGAGTCACTTGCCTGTTTGTAGACATCAGGAGACAGTTGGAAGATCTAGAGAAAAGAGTCCTAGGTGAGATCTCCAGGCAGGAAGAGAAGATCTCATTGTCCATCTCAGATCTGATCCAGAGGCTGGAAGTAAAGAAGGATGCCCTGGCTAGGAAGCTGCATCACATTGAGGAGCTGTGTAACACCACTGATCCAATGACTCTTCTACAAGACAAAGAATCGGAGAGCGAGGACTTTGGAGCTGCTGAGAGAAACGATAATGTGGACACAGAGGATGAAAATGATAAACTCCATGAAATTGGGGAACTAGATGAGGGTCTGATTTCAGAGACATTATACACTGGTATAGTAGATATTATAACCTATGTAAAAAACTTCTGTCCCTTGGGTAATGATTCCACCGTACTTCTTGACATAAACACTGCCGGTGCCAAAATAATCGTATCCGAGGACCTTAAAACCGCAACTTGGTCTGCAGTCAACCAGAACCGCTCGGAGACACCGGCGAGGTTTCAGTATAATCAGGTTCTGACCACCAGGAATTTCTCATCGGGTCAGCACTCCTGGGATGTGGAGACCAGCGAATCAGGGAACTGGAGATTAGGAATGACATACTCCAGCATGGAGCGGAGAGGGCAGCGGTCAGTCATCGGAGACAACAATAAATCCTGGTGCCTACGTCGGTGTAATAATCAATGTTCGGTGATTCACGACAGCAAAGACATTGTTTTATCTGACAAGTTTTCCTCTCAGAGGTTCCGCATCTATCTGGATTACCCAGGGGGTTGCTTGTCTTTCTATGAGCTATGTGAGCCAGTTAGACACCTACACACCTTCAATGCCACCTTTAACGAGCCCCTCCATCTTGCATTCTTATTAAGTAATGCCTGGGTGAGAATAAACAGCTAGAACTTCTCTTAATTATTTGTATGTTTCCATATTGCCAGTACAGACTCTCTACATATCCATTGTGCATGTTGGGAATGCCCAGTTCCTACTTGATACAATTGGAGAAAAGTAAAATATATGTGCTGTATATAATGCTGTGCCTATGTAAACGCTCAAATAAAAATGGAGGTCAAAGTAGAAGAGTTTATGGAGCTGTAGTCCTTGGGGGAGCCATGATGTGGCCCGGTAACATTTTAGGCTGGTCCATTTGATATATCAAAGGTAATTTTTTTTTTAGTTTTGGATGGAGTAAAGAAGAGTTAGCACCCTGTCAGGTTTTTATCACTATAGATAAATCTATCCAGCACTTGACCCTGAACCCCACTGATAGGGAGTACATAGCCCTGTAAAGCATTCCATTGCAGTGGGTTTAACTTTATACACACGGGTTAATGTGTGCTATTGGACACGCTAACTTTTCTTGCATTAAGGCATCCCGTTCTTTATTAATGGGCTGCCAATGCACTACAATAGATAGAAAAACATGCATGACCCTTTTTTTCAGAATGCAGCGCACGGCACGTGTTTAGTGCCCTGACATGTACATATGTTGTGGTGCCATTAACAATAAATGGCACCACAACACACACACACAGACCAGGTGCATCATTACAACACGTGTGAATGGGCCCTTAGAGAACTTATCACCTGACTTCTGGAAATACCAGATGCTTGGCTGTCTTCAGCTGCAATTATTTCTGGAGCATTTTTCTACATAGAGTCTCAAAGCACTTTATCTACTTTTGGGGCAGCCATCTTGAACACACTCCGTAGAGCATCATGTTAGAGCCAACTTACCCACCACTGTGTCTGCAGTGTTGGAGGAAACCCACACAAGCACAGGGAGAACATGCAAACTCCATGCAGATGGTGCCCCCAGTAGAACTTGAACTGAAGACCCCAGTGCTGCAAGGCAAACATGCTAAGCTCTATGCCACTGTCTTTTGGATCTTTGGCCTGGAACAATCATGCAGCCAGTGACATTAGTGTTACATCAGAACTGAGCGTCATACTGGCTCTTGGTCAATGACTCCGAGAGATTCAAGGCCGAAAGATCAGATGGACACTCAGGGAGCTATCATACAGCATTGAGGAAAGGAAATGGTCACATGCCAACATTAATGCTGAAATGTATGTCATTCATTTGGTTTAATATCAGTGAGATCTGGCAAGGATTCTGTACCAAATCAAAACCATTTTTATCTACATAGTATAAACAGTTTCCATATTTTTTTCCCTAATAATTGGACTTTTTCGGTGACCTTATTAATGGGATCCAGTCTGGTGGTTACATAGGTTGGTTATACCTCTTTGGGGCGTCCTTGGGACATGATCACCTGGAAGCATAACTATGGAGGATATTTTTATACGGATCCCAAAAACATTAAATAGTAACAAAGAAACTTTGCTCAAAGGTGCAAAAAGGATATTTGCAGCATGTGTGCCGGGTGGAATCTATAAGACCCCGTTCACACTGAGTGGTCTATCGGGCAATTTCAACTTCAAAATCGCGCAACGTCGCTCAATGTAGCTTGTCCAATGTATTTCAATGGAGCTGTTCACATCTCACAGCTCAATGTCGCCTTTAGCTCGTCGCTCAAGCTTGTAGCTCGAACATGACCTATTTTTCGGCGGATGTCTCGCGATTTGGCCCCATAGACTCAATGGTGTCGCGCATTACCGGCGATATTGCGCAACATCACTCTACAGAAGGGTCACTTTTGCACAGCAATATGGAAGGAAAGAATGATGTCACATCAAGGCCGCTGTTGATTGGTTAAAGCCCAATGTAGCAGCGACTATGTTCTACGTAGCGCGACAAAATGTGCACTGTCGCACAATATCGCGCAATGTAGCTCAATGCCGCTCAGCACGAAATCTCGCTGAAAAATGGGCAACTCTCCATGTCGCTCAGTGTGAATGGGGTCTGAAGGGGGAGTCAACGAAACCCTTGACACAGAGGAGAAAAGATTAGACAAGACAAATTAAAATAACTTCTATTAGTTGTTTACTGAAACCAAATTATGTTCATCTGTATACTGTATGTGCTAATATATTAATAAAAGGAGGATTAATATGTCAGAAATAAAAAATAAAAACAACTCTTTTTCTTCACTCCACTCCATGCTTCCTGTCATATATTGACAATTATCCTGTGATTTTTCAATTATCAAGTTTTCCCTGTGCTTATTTCTTTCTTTATCTACCTAACAATGTTATCAAGCTATATTTGCACATGTGCTGTGTAGATTTGAATTGAGCCGCTTGAAGGAAGGTTGTTGGAGTTGAACAACTCTACTCCTTCCAGCCAGAGTACTTCCTCTACCATCTACACAGGGCTGGATTTACTCTCTCTTCTGCCCCAATCAATGGAGAATGGCAGACCTGCAGGGTGCATACAAGTGATCTTGGCGACATGGCCCAGATCACTTAATAAAGGATTTGTCCTTGCAAATTCTGGTTCGGCTCACAAAATAGCTGCACCCCCTGTGTATGTGACAGGTGCACTTTTAATTCCCATGTGGTCTGCCGCTTGACAGTTTGTCGTTTTATAATGGCAGTATCTTTAGGCTGGGTTCACACCTAGGCGTATTGAATATGCGCGTTTGTCACACGGTTTGCGTCGCGCGTTTTTACCACGACAAACGCGCGTTTCCGTGGGCTACTTGGCTGTATCCCAAGGGAAACGCGAGACCAAAACGCCCCAAAGAAGTACATGTACTTCTTTGGGCGTAGGCCGTTTTGTATCTCGTTCTGACGGGCAGAAATACGGCAAGGTGTGAACCAGACCCATTGAATACAATGGGATTTAGACGTTTGAGCGTTTTGTAGAGCGTTCATAGAGCGTTGAACGCGCTACAAAACGTTCAGGTGTGAACCAGGCCTAAAACCCTGTTTTATTGTTTCTCCTTTAATGAAATGCAATAAGGGATGATGACACATTTGTTGTGATATTCCCTGCAGTAAGCATGTTAGTGATAATGATGCCAAGGAGGTTGTATGAACATGTTTTTATGTTTTATTTCCTTTACTTGCCTAACGTCCACCACTGGCAAAGTGACCATGCCTTGAGGAAGGGACCCTGCGCGGCCCCGAAACGTCGGCTCTTTTTGATCTTTGTGACACTATTGTCCAATAAAAAGGACTTATTCATTTTAAATACTTGGAGTGCTGGTGACCTATTCTTTCAATTGTGTATTTTGCACGGTGCCATCCGTGGAGTTACTACAAGCACCATCTTTGTTTATTGGCCGGGACTGCTGAAAGGTGTGCGGAGAGTATCCTCACCAATTGCAACTTGTTAATATATTAAAACCGTAAATTGCTAAAAAAAAAAAAAGAGTGTTGAATTGTTCAAGAAACTTTTGGACGATTTCCTAAGGGACTGTAATATACAGGGGTACAGGTACTCCTAAGAATGAGATCCTATAGGTTGGACTTGATGGACTAATGTCTTTATTCAACCTCAAATACTATGTAACTATGTAACTATCCAACTAGGAAATGAGGTGAGCTCTCTCTGACTTGCTGCAGATGCTAATGCACATTGTGAGAAGCTTACAGGGTGCAGTGACATCAGAGTAAGCAACCTCAGTCCAGGAGAGGAGCCGCTACAACTGTGCAAGACTGAAGAGAAGGTTGGACTTATCTTGGTATAAACAGTTCGTAGAGTGTCCATGTTTCTAAAGCTTGTGTGTGTTACTGAAAGGAACAGGCTCTCTATTATGGTACAATGATTTTATCTCAGCAGTCCCGAGATAGAATCTGTATGAACAGAAATATGGGATTAGCCATTGCTGATGTGTTTAAAAAAGTTTCGGCTCGGACATTCTTATCTTTATCCTTGCAGAGAGGAAAAATAATGTTAAGCCTGAAGTTCAGCTTTAAAAGCAGCAGCCATGATCTCGCTGGTTGCATTTTATAGAGAATTTGGGTGATCCCTGGTCCCAGTCAGGGCTGACAAAAAATTGGGTACGTGTATTGGACTTCAAAGCAAAAACAACAATAGCACATTTACATGGGAGCCTTATAGGTACAGCTGGGGTCACACCATGAATTACAGCGAATCATCTGTGTCACCAGCACGTGGTGGTAGGATCTCAACACGGTGGTTAAAGTGTATGGTATTCACCTGATCCCTAATAGTAGGGATAGATTTGGAGGCAGGGAAATGCTCAGAAGGCATCCCTTTGTATCATCTTGTTGGGAACAATTGACAGAGAGGACCCAATAGAGTACTAGATTGAAGGAGGAACGTGGCGGTAAGGTCAAACAGCCGGACAGATAGAAGAATTGGGTAGAAAATCAGGACAGACTGAGAACAAGTACCAGAAACCAAGGCAGCCAATCAAAAGCGAGCGAGGATAAGGATAGGGGCCTCCAAGTTGAGTTAGGCCAGTATCTTCATGAGAAGAAACGTAATTCCTGATGTAAAAGGCATATATATGGGAATATCAGATCATTTTTTATGCCTATTATTTTCTGTATATCACATTTTCCCTGAGCTTTTTACTTATTTTCTAAGGCAGGGGTAGCAAACCTCCGGCCCTCCAGCTGTGGTTAAACTACAAATCCCATGATGCATCTCTCTTCGGGAGTCATGTCTGTGGCTGTGAGAATATTGCAATGCCTCATGATATTTGTAGTTCCACCACAGCTGGAGGGCCGGAGGTTTGCTACCCCTGTTCTAAGCTCTCCATCTTAGTTACACATACTCCATTTAGAGAGAAGCCAATGAACCAGCCAACATGTCTTTGGAATGTGAGAGGAAACCACATTATACAGATAGTGACCTGGCCCGGATATGACCCAGCAACTGCAGGACTTCAAGGCGGGAGTGCTAGCCACTGTGCCACCACCCTGCCCACGTAAGCAGTCCTTAAATTGTACAAAGATAAAATCTGAGCAAGCTGCTTATGATAACTCACCGCACTGCCTGTGTGCATGCCAAGATACCGTGTGGTGGAATAGAACAAAAATACACGTGTGAATGTAAGCTTATATAGTTACATAGTATATGAGGTTGAATAAAGACATTAGTCCATCAAGTCCAACCTATTTGTGTATGTGTGTATGGTCCTATTGGTGTGTAGTATGTATAGGTCCCTTGTGTGTTCTCAATTTTAAGAGTACTTGTACCCCTGTATATTACGGCCCCTGAGGAAATCGTCCAATCGCCTCTTGAATGATTCCACACTCTCAGCCGAAGTCACAGCATGTGGCAGCGAGTTCCAAACCCTGACCGATCTAACTCGGAAGAAACCCCTTCGCCCCTTGTGTGGTAAACATTTTATACATGAAAATCATGTCCCCCCTTAACCTCCTTACTTCCAAGGCGAACATGTTTAATTTTAGTAGCCTGTTCTCATAACTCAGGTCCTCCATCCCCTTTATGAGTTTGGTTGCCCTCCTCTGGACCCTTTCCAGTTCAAGGACATCCCCCCTGTTCACTGATGCCCAAAACTGGAGCGCATACTCCAGATGAGGCCGAACCAGCGATCTATAAAGTGGCAAAATTACGGACTTGTCCCTGCAAAACATTCCCCTCTTAATACAGGAAAGGACTCTACTTGCTTTGTGTGCCGCAGCCTGACACTGCAAGCTATTTTTCAGCCTGTGGTCTACAATGACCCCCAAATCTGTTTCCCTTTCTGACTTTCCAAGGGGAGCTCCCATTAGTGTGTAATCCGTTTTCTTGTTTTTAATCCCAAAGGGCACAACTCTACATTTATCTACATTAAACCTCATCTGCCATGTGGTTGCCCACTTCCCTATTTTATCCAGATCCCCCTGTAATGTGATAGCGTCAGATTCAGTGTCTATTCCCCTCCCGATTTTGGTATCATCAGCAAACACTGAAAAAATGGCTGTTTACCCCCCTCCCCAATATAGTTAATGAATAGATTAAACAGCATGGGGCCCAGCACAGCCCCCTGCGGAACGCCGCTGATGACCCTAGCCCAATCCGAGAAGGTGCCATTTATCGATACTCTTTGTACCCGTTCCTGTAGCCAGTTCTCTATCCATGTACACACTAATTTGTCTATGCCCATAGCTCTCAGCTTGTATAGTAAACGTTTATGAGTCAAATGCTTTAGCAAAGTCCAAGTATACCACATCCACCGGTCTTCCTCCATCCCGATCTCTACTCACCTCTTCGTAGTATGTCAGTAGGTTAGTCTGACAAGAACGGTCTTTCCGAAATCCATGCTGGTTGTCATTTACTATGCCATTATCCCGAACAAATTCTACTAGGTGATCCTTAATCATGCCCTCTAACACTGCCATAACGATGACATTACCCTGCTTCCCGGCTGTTTTATGCTGATAAAAAAAATAACCAACTGTGCATTTATTATTGCATTTATTAGCTATCAGCCTGACCCCCCATTCTGACAAAAAGGTAGTTGTCAAACGAGGGTCTAGTCAAATGTATTTGACAGAAGCCATATACTGCATGATGTCACTCTGACACATTAGCCTTACTGTAGCTTTGTTCAGCATACAATCGGACGCTGGCATAGGGAGTCGTACACTGCTCAGTGCAGCAATTCATTCTATTGGATGTCTTGCAAAGCAATCATCAGTTATGATGCAGTGTCCATATGATACCCAGAATAGAAGGTCCTGGTATCCTATGGTTAGATGTTGAGAGAAGTGCCATCTCCACACTTTGGTCTACTGTGTGTAGACTGCAATGTAAGCATAGGACACACTCAAACACTCCGCCCAGACTGCTGAACATGATGTTGTATGTTGCTATACACTATATAACTGTTTTTTTTATCTTTTAAAAAGATACTTATGTACCTTTATACAGATTTATTGTTCAATTTCATGTATTGATGACTGAATTCATACTAAAATGTTGCCTATTTTTTCCCCTTTAGCTATGAAACACATTCACAAAGGGTGTCACCAACATACTCTTCTTGACACTTGTGAAGCTCCATACGGAATGGTCAAATCCATTCCAGAAATGCCTACTGCATTGGGCAATGTAAAGGGTTAACTGCAGAGTTAACCAATCCCAGTGAGCTCTCAGTTGTTGTCCTGCGAGCTGGAAAATCCCTGTACAGGCTGAGAGTGATAATGTCACTTATTGGAGGCGGCAGGGTGGGATCTGAACCGCCGTTTATCACATTCGGTGGCAGCCGTGGGATCTGACCTGCCTTCGTCACATTCCCACTTTCACTGCTTTCCTTAAGATTTGACATGTCAAGTTCCTGTGGTTTCTCCTGATAAGTACAACAATTGTAATGCAATTTGGGGTTTCCCAATAAAGACAAAACTTGTAATACTACTTTGAGGTTTCCTGTTCTGAGCACTTCTTCTCTTATCCGTTATGAACAGCACATCCTACTGGTCATAAATCAACACCTACTTTACCAAACCTACTTGCCTCGCTGTGTTTACTCCGTCATATTTATCGCCTGGACGGAGCTGCCAGCTATCCTGCTAGGATGGTCCCATACGCTGTATTGTACAGCTACTTTTTGGCTGTATTTATGAATCAGTTCTGCATTCAAGGTAGGATTTCCATTGTTTATGCTGCAATAAGCTTTTTAAGTTTATTCAAGTCTATATTTTGAGTTTAAAGTAACAAAGCCTTAGTGAGATCACACCAACTATGGAACATTGTCACTTTGCTCTTCCAGCACCTTCTATGTTGTCAATTAGGATCAGAGCTTGGAGCATGACACTCCCTATGCGACAGGTCCAAGCGCCAGTAGCATAACAATAGCCATAGCAGCCCACATGGCTTTTATGGGACCTGGGGATGGAAGGGGCCCCATTATGGCGGATGGTGAAGCAATTAAACATAGAAAATTTGTATGTAGGTGAAGATAGCACACATCCATCACTGTATTATTAAGCATTGCAGAGGTTGCTGTTGACTTTGACTCGGTACTCCCTGTGACATTTCCAATCAAGAAAGGCTAACACGGGTCATACTGTACATTACATTAGGACACTTCAGAATCATTATTGCCAGTTCCTATTTGCTAGCTGTGCTGATAGTAGAATGTGTTTAGCTGTCTTAGGCTGGCCATACACTATGCGAATTTCGGACAGTTCTTGATGAACAAGCCGAGATTAGCACATTGGGTGCTGCTGTCAGAGGGATGCCAGCCAAAGGGTGCTATCAGCTGATTAAAGGAGCCAGTTGGCGAAATTTACCAACAAACAGAGCCAGCAGTCAACAGCTTTTGGCTCTGTTCAGGTATTCTGACTGTGAGAGATGCCTCGATCAAGACCAGTCACCCTGCACAAGGAGAGAGAGCAGCAGTGGCCGGTCTTTATTATAGGAGGAGGCGGAGACAAGACGAGTGCCCGTTCTATGGCCTTCTTTTTGTGCCTGCAAAGCCCACCACAGATCC